TGGCAGATCAGGGACATCTGCTGCAGGAAACATTCGTGATTTCTTTCAAGACATTTCACACCTCAAAGGTGTGAGAAAAGCACCAGAAAAGATCCCCCCCTCCTTTATCTGTCAGCAATGCCTCTGGACTTTTCCTTCTTCAGTGTAAAAATTGAGACAAGTGTTGGACAACTGGGTGTCAGCCATCTGATGGGAGCTGTACCTTTGGGTGAGCTTGCGAGAGACTCGGGGGGAGGCTGTTCTCAGCACGGCAGAGCTGTCAACAGGCTTTCTGCTAATTTCTGAACTGTACGACCGTACTGCTGGTAGCCTCTGTCTTTGGGCATGATGCCAGCGTACCGTTGTCTGTAAAGAGTTGCTGCCCAGGATGACTGGGACACACTTATCAAGCAGATGTCAATCAGCAAAGGCCTTTGGGGGCCAAGCTTCAGTGAAAGTAAATCGAGCAAGCTGGATATGGCCAGATTGTTATGCAAATTGGCATAGCTCCACGCTTCCCCACAGCAGCGGAGGATGTGTGCCCTATACTTCACATATGATTTCTTAGCGAAACAAAGCAGTGGTGACAGCTCCTCTTGGCATTCTTGCCTGCGGACTGGGATTTCAATGAAACGTTTCATTTAGTGGGAAGCTGGATAGGAGTGGTACAGTGTCTGAGGGGGAAAGAAACCCTCAAATCTAATTTGCAAAAAAAACCCCGTGCCAGCCAGGCCAGTTTTCCAAATGAGGCTCATGCCTTACAGTGTACATGAAGCATGCTAGTGTAATTACTGTATTTCAAAGTTCAAAGGAAAGAAAGCTGCTGAATTATGCACTGCCAGTGAGGGTTACTGCCAGGAGCTATTAGGAAGTGAGTATGAGGTCTGGCATTGCAGGAGGTGGCAAATGTCATTAGAGCTGTGTGGAGGGTGTTAGCATGGTCCTTCTCTGATCCCACTGGGGTATTTCTTCCTTTGCACAATGAGTGTGATAGCACTTGAATGCATCCTAGGTGCTGTGTTGTGAGGGGTTGATTAAGGTTTATTAGGCACTCTGATGCCTCACAGGGTGGAGGAGGGCAAGGTTTCAAGACCCTGCCCCATGCTCAGTGCTGAATAGTTACTTGGAACCAAACCTACATTAGCTACTTTTGACATCAGCTCTTGCTTTGCGGTGATAGCTTTGTCCCAAAGGCATCCTGTGCTTAGACTGTTTCTGAATTGTTTACAATTACAAGCTACATTGATTCTCTGTCTTGGGGCTATCTCACAGCACAGTTCCTGAAACAAAACTCTGAAGTGCTTGTTCTGTTGCATGGCTACTAGCCTTTTTCCTACATTATTATTGACATATCGCCAACCTTATTTTCCCCTAGGGGAAGTTTCTCTAGAAGACTTGAGATGTATTTTGGATAGGTGTGAAGGCTTAGTAGGAATTAATGTAGAACTGAAGATTAAACGTATCTTCAGTTCATGCCCTCACAAGAGTCTGGTACTGCTTGTTTCTCTTCCAGTCCCAGCCCCTATTTTCCTCCAAAAAGTTCTATGAGGATAAGTTTCCAAAATTTACAGGCACCAAATGTAGATGTGCTACAAACCTGAAGGAAGCTCCCTCACATTTAGATGTAGGTATGTGCAGAACTGGCTACTGCTGGAAGAGAGCAGGGCCTAGTTAAAAGGAATACCTTCTTCCTTTCATGGACAGTGTGTGCAGCTCTGCAAATCCACTGCAGTGACAGCAGCACCAGCAGGAGAAATAAAAGGCTGTCAGGTTAGCACCTGATGTGTATATGGGACAACAGGACTGTCCTTTGAATCTCTGAGCTATGAACACAAGTCCAAGTTGCTGCAAAGTAAGGTTGAACGTGAACATGTAATGCATGCCATGATGTGGTAACTGTTTGTGCCTCTTCCCCTACTGTAAAGGTCGGCCTGCTGGCCTTTGGTGAAGAGCAGAGCTGTGGCACTTGCCACTGATACCGCTGGGTCACAGCATATGTGGCTGTTCTGTGAAACAAGTGATAAATTAATTCGCTTGCTAGCTTGCTCCAGGTTCCTTCATTTCTGCACCCACAGGCTGAATTTCCTGTGCTTGCTGAAAGCAAGTTCCTAGTGGAGCCTTTTATGTTTTATATACGTACCCTCTTGGTCACAGTCTTTCTGTACCTTCTTTAGAAGGCAGTCAATACAGCTCTGGAGTGACATTTAGCTTTCAGATGTCCTTGCTTCTTCCATAAGCAGTGGGTTGCTTTTGTGTGTGTGCTTTGGGACTGGCTGCTCCCAAGACTGTTCTCTGCTCTCTCTTACCCAGCTCTCACAGCCAGAGTGGTAGCTTTGCTTGTCCTTGGAGGTGATACTCTTTGCCTCTAGAGCTGATCAGTGCTGTTTCTCCCATTCAGCTTTTCCAAATGCTTGTTTTTGTGTGCAGTCCTATTCTGACCTGACTGTGAGATTTCCCTGGGGGAGCTTTACAGCTCAGTGTGTTTATGGGAGTAGCAGTAAAAATCCAGCCAGAGATGCTTTTTTCATAGATTGCCTACTCTCAATTAGGTTCTCCCAGACCGCAGGGTCTATTAAAATACTGTCTGCAAACCAATACAGACTTGTTCCACCGGGAACTGGCTCGCTGTTAATACTGGACCCACCTGGCTTTGGGTCAGGCAGCACCAACTCTTCTTACCATTTTTAGCACATTCCACTGAACTCATTAGTGTTTTGTGCCTTGAGGGGCTGACAGGGAGGGACAATTTATAGTGTCTATGCAAGTTTTGCTTGACTGGGTAAAATTCAGCTCCAGCAAGGGCTGTTATTGTTAGAGTATGAGGATTGTTTTTACTTTCCTTTTATTGCAGTACATCGGAAGTCAGGCTGTTGCCCATTGCTAGTGTGGAGGGACCCACCTGATCATTCCCATCTTGCTGCAGTGGGAAACTGGTGACTACAGGGGTGTGTTTGGAAAGCCTGTTTGAGAAGACAAAGCCCCATTGTCCCCACAAAGGCTCCCCAAAGGGTGGCTTCAGTCCACCTTGATTTGTGAAACCACCTCTGAGTAAATACAAAGTCCCTGTAGCTTTTTACTGCAGAGATGTCTCATGGTAACTGCTGGGAGTCTTGACCTGGGAATCAGTTCTCCTGCCAGGGAAACTTATTTGGGCAACACTGTACAGAATGTTTTATCTTTGGCTGATGCTGCTGGAGGGAGAGACTCTGACATGTCATTTATATCACACTAGGTGTTGTTTCCCATTGGAGTGGAGCAAAATGATTCCCTCAGAATATGTATCTGCTCTTCTTCCTTAGGGAAGAATCACAAAGCCCAGCATGGCAGGGAGCTTGCATGTGCCTCTCAGGCCGTGTCAGCAGTGCAGGGAGTGACTGGGAGGGCAGCTTGTCAGAAATGTGATGTGTGACATAAGTCCTATTAAAGTGGTACAGCAGCCTTAGCTGTGAACAGGCATGTGCAGGAGTGCTCTGCCATTCAGCACTCAAACTTACAGTTTCACTGTAGCTATGGTTCCTGAGAGCTGTTGTCAGCAACTGTCACAGCTCTGGCACATCTGCTTCCCTCTAGCTTATCTTGACCAAGTATTGTTCTTCTCCCTATGTGCATAAGCAAAGTCAGAATGAGACTTCTGCAGTTGAGTGTACCCTGGTGCTGCTGTGTTATTAGGCCCTGAATGAGCTTGCTGGGGTGCTCAAGTAATGGATGCTGGGAACGAGACCCAGAATTAGATGCTCAGAATAACACAGTTTCTAGCAGTATGTGCAATCACAGGACAGTTGTGTTGAGCCTGGGCTCAATGCCACTGCTGGGGCTGACTTGGGAATCCAAGCTATTTCGTCCCGAGGATGCTAACTGAATGTGGTCTTGGCAATATAACCCTATTTGGGGAGGGAGGGTGGTCAGGGAGAATGTGTTTTGGGCCAAATTCGCATCATAGGTGTGAAATCTAGCTACAAAGGCCTAAATGAAACCTTTACCAGACTTGTAGTGTTCCCATTATCCATGTTTAGAACAACTTTGAGGGGCCATTTCCAGAAAGTGATAAATATTATGTACAAGCTGCTTTGTAATTGGAGTGATCCCACCTGCCCTCAGATGAGAAATACCGTGACAGGATTCAAGCCCGTGGAGGATCACTGGGGTTCAGCGCTTCAGTCACATGCACAGTGAGACAAGACACAGTTAATGATGTATCTTTCTGTTGATGCTCATAACCTTTATTTGCTAAGTTCTAGAAAGCATATACAATGAATTCCCTTTCCTCCCTCTGGTTATCTTGAAACTTGTGGAGTGTTATGATTTTTCTTACTTCTTTTAATGTAAATTTATGGCAGTTCCCTTGACTGAATAATCTATACCAGCAAAAGGATTCTCTTGTTATTGAAACCCTGTCTATAGGAGGACTCGTGTTGGTCTTTCTATGTTGAGCAAGCTTTTTTTCCTGCTAATCTGTTATGATTTCTTAGTGTAGAGGGAAAAACTCTAGTGAAAAAACTAATTTCTGTTTCTACCAAGTTCATACTTTCTCCGTCTTGTGTAAGTAAGATCCAGCCTTCTGGGTACCAGAGTACCAATAAAGGATAGGCTTTTGACTTGAGGAAAATACAAGAAATTTTAATGCAACAGACAGGAGAGAGGTCCAGCATAGATATCTAATGTGTTAGTTTTATTTAAAGATGCTCTCTTGGTGCTAGAGTAAGAAATGTTCTTTAAAAAAAACATCAAATAAATAAATAAATAAATAAATAAAAATAGGAATAACTTTCTGTTGAAGAGCTTAGAAAGCATCCGGCTTTCATCTTGGGAGGAACAGGTACTGTAAAGCATTCTTCAGAGTAGGGTAGAGGGAGATTGTCCTAATTCTTCCTGGAACCTGCAAGCCAAACATGAAATAAATGTTACTAGAATCTGTTTCTCTCAGCGTATGCAACCATTGTCAGCAGTGGGCTTACCTAGCAAATCCACAGACACAACGTTTCTTTTGAAAAACCAATACTAGCTTAAACATTAGGCTAAAATTAATTCCTTTCTCAAATTGTGTCTTATTAAAGACTTAAATGAGAACCTGCTCCTCTCTTGTTGCATGACACAGATTCAGCAAGATGGTTTAGGCGGGACTCACCATTGCAACCCATTCCACTCAGGGAGCCGATTCTATCAATTCTCCTCCCGAAGCAGCCAGAATCTCTCATCATCCTGGGCATCTGCAGCTCCCTCAGTCTCTTGAGGAAGAAGTCCCTGTGGGACAGAGGGGTGCTGGGTGCTAGCCTGGGTTCAGCCTTCTGGTCATCACTGTCATCTGTGAGTCCTGCTGGCAGCTCTTCCTGGGGTTTGGGTTCTTGGAGGTCAGGATTGGAGTCCAGGGCTTCAATCATTGCAAACTTATCTTCCAGTCTCTCCAGCAGAGCCTACAAGAGAAGGATTGTTTTCATGAAACTCCTAGTTTTGTGGTCATTTTCTAGCTCTTCCAGTCATCCAATTCTGCATTCATCAATGGTCACATAGCCAGCCCTAGGGAGGCTGTCAGGTTGGATCCCAGGGTTGCTGGTGGTACTTGAGCTCTGTCCTCTTCAGTAAACCCCTGTTCATGTTAGTTCCACCTATGGGTAGCTCTAGATGAGAGCTGAATGAAGCTGCTTGTCATGAAAGTATATCTTTCTGACAAGGTTAAAACAGCTCTTGACAGGATAAAAAAGCAAGATGTGAGTTGCCTAGGGAGATACTATCTAACTCACCAATGGTACACAATCTCAAAGTACCTCTAAATCCAGAACCCACTCCCATGTTCTCAGAAGTTGCCTGCAATGCTGCTTGCCAGCAGTTGGCTTTTCTCTCTTTTTTTTTTTTTTTTTTTTTTTTTTTCTGTTAAGACTGCTTGCTTGTCCCCCCTGGCTGTTTCAGCGGACATCACTTGGGGAAGCTCTTGGTGTTTTCACTAATCTTTGCCCTAGGAGTTACAGGATTGCTGCTTCTTAAAGGCACATGCATCTCCCTGAACATACCTCTATGCTAAATTTATGTCTGCTATGTGACTTCTTCCTGGGTGCCATTCTCTATAATTTTTAAAGCTTTGTGTAACAGGGATCGATAACCTCCTCAAGGGTAGCTCAACCAATTAGAGGAATTTAATTGTCCATCTCTAGAAGTAGAGTGGAAAGGAGTGAGCCTTATGGCTTGCTTGAAAGTGAATGCATTTGGAAGCCACTTTTCTCAGCCAACTGCGGCAAACAGCCTAGAGGCATGGGGCAATTTCAGTGTTGTCTCACACTGTCCTAATCATCTCAGGGAGTTTCTTCTCAAGACCTGATGCCATGAGAAGCTGGTCACCGGTACCAGTCCAAAGCAAGATTTGAGCTTTCAGATTTCATCTTGCGAGACTGAGTCTTAAGCTTATATCGTGCTGTAACAATGGATTTTCTCTGTCATTCATTAAAATACACACCTGGTAATTTCATAGCTCTAGAAGCTTTATTGGATGAGTCATGCTAAATGATCATACTACTCCTCTAGCAGCTTTTCTAAAAGTTTGCCTTTGGGTGTTCCATTTCACCTCCTCATCTCCCATCCACATGCAGCCAGTTTTCTTAAATCCACAAAGCTAGAGCCGTATGGCTGTCCTGCTTCACTGTTCCTGCCATTTATTGGGATAAACGAGAGCCCACCTGAAAGTTTTCTATTTGTTCTTATAGAGCTACTGTGATGATTTTTACCCTCTCTGGGACTTTGCTCCCAGGAGAGTGGATCTTCAAGAGAAAAAGAACTGAAAACCCAAAGCAGACATCCCACAAAATCAGAATTTTCTTTCCTACTGCTACCTAGGAGCTCAAGTGAACCCAGCACTGAAGGATATTACTCTGTAGAACTTTTCTGAACCCCCGCGAAGAACTGAGACTTTTTCCCCAGCATGTGATTGCTGATGTGGCTATCTGATTGTGCAAAAGAAAGGCAAGACCACCACCTCACACTCTGATAAGCACCCCAAAAGTTTAACCTTGCAAAAGGAGAGAGTCCTCACCTCCATGCTGGCCAGTTCTTTGGCAGGGCTGAGGTTGTAAATGGGGTTGGCTCTGCTGGACTGAAATTGGATGAGCAACAGCAAGAGGAAGCCACAGGAAAATGAGCCTTTAGCGTCCATGGCGCTGGGTTCGTTGGGAATAGGGAAGTTCAAGCTGTTTCTTCTGAGATGTCTCTTCAGGTCTCTCTCTTCCTTGTCCTATCCTCTCCCTTCCGAAGCTTGTCTTTTATACTCTTTGGGTGTGATCTCTGCTTCCTAGGTTATCAGTGGGTTTATCTGGGGCACATTCCAGTCCCACTGCAGGCATGCAGCTCTGTCAAGGGAAGATTCCCTTTATTAGCTGTCATTAGGCAGCAGCTGCTGTTGCTGAGGAATGTATGTCACAAGTCAGTGATTTCATGTCACTCCCCCTCCTCTTGATACCAGGCGCTGTGATTACATAGTCCAGTTGGAAATTCTTAGCAATTTTCTTTCAAGAGACCCCTATGGTCAGATTTATGGAGATGGGAAACAACCCTGAAACTGCTCTAAACTCTACTCGGTTAGAAGCTTTCCATAGGGAAATTACCTTTTATACGGAAAACAGTGGGCTTTTCAGATGAGTATGTGATGGAGAGTAAAAGCTGATGATAAATCTACTTTTAGGACACCTAGAGTAACGTGCACACTTTCCTTCTATATATGGAATATGCGCAGCCGCTGCATACCGTGGAGTGTGCTGAAAATCCCAGGTTTGGGCCACTTCTCTTTTCCCATTGCTGTTGAGGTGATATCACCGTTGAGACTTTTTGTATCTGTATGTTGCCAACAACAGAGGCGCCCTGATCTGTACCTCGATACAGACGATAACTTCTAGACTGACTCTGCGGGGACAGCGAGTACCTCCAGCCCCCCACAACAACTGGCTTCGGCACCACTGAGAAACACTAGTCTTTATTAACAGCTAAACATTTAAATCAATGGAATTTCTTTAAACATCGATGATAAAGCTTGACCCTACATCAATAAAATTTAAAGAAGAGATGGTCAGATTCAGGAGTAATCCTCTTGTGCCGTCATACAAGAAAACAACCTCTTCGACGAGAACTTTAGATAGATGGCTTTCGGTGTTATTCAGCAAAGGTATCAATCTAGCCCCAAGAAAGAATGAATGAATTTGTGTATACATGTCTTTTGGGAGGGCTTAAAATGAAATATTTAGTTTAATATATTAAAAAAAAAAGTATTTATTTTTTAAAATAAATATTTTATTTCTTTTTAAAAATATTTCTTTGACAGCTGAAGTTTTCAAGATTAGGTAAAAACTGCCTGTGCTTATGGAGAAGTTACAAAAATGTAGATTTGCTGCACATTCCTCTTCCAGCATTGTCTTTGTGCATAAAGTGCAACTAAAGATTGATCTTTTTTACAGAACCACAGGAGAGTTCTAAATCATGAAGCATATTGCTATCCTGCATTTTCCTAACGTTTCTTAGTTAGTGACTTAGTGACTGAATATGTCAGTCTAGTAATAATTTGTTAACTTTTAATACAAATGTAGATATTGAAAGTATCTCCTGAGTACAGTTTGTAATTAATAATAGAACGATAAAATATTTCTCATGTCTTAAATGTCTTAACATGGTGTTTGTGTACAAACATGTGCACATACTGTCCACATGATCAGCTACCAAAATTATACTAGAAAGGACATTGTCAAGGTTGTGAAGTCAAGCTCAAATGCTACTTTTTCCTAATATAGCCCGAAGTCAGCCCAACTCTGCATATGTTCTGATGAAGCCCTTTATTATAAGAGCACTCCCTATTTTTCCCCAATGCTTTATTTTTTCAGTACATTGAGGCAGCACTTGTTTTTTGTATTATTGTGTGTACCAACGCATTCTTATTTTGTGCAATTAGAAAGAACTAGGAGCCTGATAGCTTGCTTTTTTTTTTTTTTAACACTTGATATTGCAGTGTCTGTAATTCACTAATTAGTTACAAGTATTCTCTTACTGCTGCTCTTGTGTGTGCATGTGTGTGTTTGTGCCAGGGCATAATGTCGTTTTATAAATGTACAAAGTGTAAGAGGACAAACTAGAATTATTCATTGAGTGTCCAATTTAAGATACCTAGGCTCTGTTCTTGTTTTATTTTTCATTTCTTTCCTTTCACCCCCCCACCCACTAAGTATTCTCTAGTGCTGTCTGTGCAGAAACTTCTGTTGCTTGATCTGAGTTTTGCCTGAGAGCTCAGCACATCTGTAAAGCAACCCTTGGCACACAAACCCAGCAGCAAGAAACCAAGGAACACAGTATCAGTCACAGCTGTGAAATGTTTAGCTTTGAGTGGCCTGTCCCTGCGAAACAATCTAATGTTCCAGGATTGTATTCAATAACCTGGACCCAGAGATACTCCTCTCTTTTACTGGTTTGTTCTATTTCCATCTTCTGTATTCCACAGCAGATAAATGAGATGTGGGGGCCTGACTTCAGCCTTGACAACACTTTCTAAGACAGAGAGATTTCTGTGTACTATTTCATGTATGTAGATAGGATAAAAAGGCTGACTGTCACAGTAGCTGTTGTGTTTTCAAAGCCAAATTCTGCTCTCTATTATCCACCTTGCTGTCCTGCCAAAGCAAATGGAGTGTAAAATGTCAGAACTCATCTCATTGTTGTTGAAGCTATAAGGCTCACTTGGTTGGTTGCTTGTGGTATCTCAGTATCATCACCCTGGCAAGATTAATATGAACTTTAGGATTTATATCCCAGCACTGGGTAGTCAAAGTCCAGGCATTGCCCATGCTCAGCTGGCCACTTGCCTAGTAAAACCCCTATTGGGAGTCTTACCAGGGCAGAAGGTTTTTACAAAAAGCATACTGTGACCAGTTTTAGAGTTGGGAAGCTGGCACATTCCCCCAGCACCCCAGGGTAGGGGATAGGAGGTGTGGGAACATGAGGCTCCATTAGAAAGCAGCCCTGGTTGCTCAGAGCAGAGGGGGAGAGCACCAAGGGTGCTGCTGGCACCCCTGTGTGTGGATCCTTGTGAGGAGGAGAACGGTACATGGACAGAGCTCAGCTGAGGGTGACGCTGCCCTTTCCCTGGCAGGATAATGAGATGTCCTTGTCTTTCAGCCCTGTAAGGCTAAGGACTGTAAGCCTAGGGACTGGTGTCATGGGGAGGCCCCAGCTGATAGAGCTGCCCTAACTGATGCCCCTACCTGCTGCACATCCTTCCAGTGATGTCTGTTCTCCTATTGCTGTTTTGCAGCTGAAGAATGCTAGAGTGTGAGCTGACTGTAAAGAGCCTTTGTAGTCCTGTTCTGAGGAAGAGGCTGGATTTGGATTCCTTTCACCTCCCAGTGACTAAAGCCTTCAACAAGACTAGCCCATACCCCATGTGAGCTCCCTTTCCTTGCCTTGCGATTTGGTTAGATTACCAAATCCAAGGATTATCAAGGAAATGAAGAGACAAGGTGCAGGAAACAAAAGGGAAATGTAATCACGTCTAGTGCAGGGCACGCAGCACCAAGATCACAGGACAGGCCATACTGCAATTCAGATAGTTAAGTGGTGCCTCACTTTTTCCATGGGGGAGGAAACTTACTTACTTTCATCCCAAACATGGGTTGTTTCGGCTGCTGCTGGGGGTATATTATCTCTGTGATGTGGCTGCCCCTTCCTGTGCTGGACTCTCCAGGCTCAGTGCAGGCAGCACGGGCCCTGCCTTTCTCAGTTCCTTTGGAGCAGGGTGTTTGGCAATGCCTTGAGCCTTTCTGTCTGTTTAGGGCTGCCTGTGCTTCACAGCCTTGTCTTGAGAGGCCGGAGAGGGCTTTGCACAAAACCCGGGTGGAAGAACGAGAGGGTTTTGCTGAAACCGAGTGACATGAACTCGGGAAAAAGCAGTCCTGCGAGCTGGGCTTGGCTGCGCTCCGGGCCCGGGGAGGGGGATGCCGAGCCCCGGGCTGGCGGGGGGAGCCCGGGGGGAGCCCGGCGGGGCCGGCGCTGGGCGACTGGCGTCTGTCCCGGGTCCTGAAGCCTTCGCGGCCCTTCGCCCGCCCCGGCAGCGTTCAGCAGCCGCTGCCGAGGGAATTTTTAAAGCGATGTAGCCCCTCTGTCCTTGGTGGCACCCCATGCCGGCCCGCCGTGCCAAGCCTGGCACTGATACCAGCGGCTTAGCCCGTAGGACACTACCTGGAATTAACCCCAAGCCCAGCGCCCGCCTCCTGGGAGGATTCACAGCTAGCAGCGGTGAAGCTGTTGGGAAAGGCATCCCGGCTCGCCGCCACGGCCCCAGGGCTGGTGTCGGTGCCAGACAGAGCCTCTTCATTGTAGTGTGGAGGGTCACTGCACTGATCACTGTCCTGGAAGGATGCAATCACCTTCCTGCTGCTGCCACCCTCCAGCAAAGGCTTGTCCAGCCTGGGTGGGATGCCCTGGCCAGGGTCGATACTGAGCCCTTAAGGCAGAGAGAGAGGAGCGCTCCGCAGGGGATTTCTGTACCTTCTGACTGTGTGCTACACAGTGACCGAAAAAACACTCACAGAAGGCAATGCAGGCTTTCTACAAAAGTTTATTTTTCTGTACCCCACCCCCATGGAGGCTCCGGGGGGGAGCCTGGCTGGCTGGCTGCTGGACACCAGCACGGAGGCTCAGGAAGCGCTCTGGGAGCTGGTCCTGGCTTCAGCTTCTCCCTCTCCTCCAGAAACCTGGGAGAGAAGGGCAGAGAGCTGCTGGGGGAGCCGCTCGGAGGCTTTCAGCTGGGAACAGCAGCTGCTCTCAGCGGCAGCCCTGGCCTCCCCCGCTTTCCTGCGCCACGGGGAACCACGGGCTCTGACCCAGGACCTACGGATTTTGTACTGGTTGCATCCCAGCCCCGTCTGCGCACCGATCCGCTCCATCCTCATCCCAAAGCAGCCAGAGAAGTGCCTCCGTCTGTAGGAGGAAAGGAGGCTCCTCCACTGGCTCTGCTCCTCCGCCAGCTGGGGAGGGCTGGGTGCAGGGAGAGGGGTGCCTGGCAGGCTGCTCTCCACCCCCGGGAGGTCCCATTCGGAGCCGCCATCCTCAGCCCCGGCCGCCGGCTCGTCTTCCAGGCCTGGTTCCCCTTCCTCCTCCCGGAGCTGTCCCAGCGCCTCCAGGAGGTCCTGGAAAGGGAAGGAGAAGGGAGGAGCCGCAGCGGGGGGAGAGGGAGCCCCGCTCCTGCCCGCTTTTCCCCGGCAGGATGGGTGCAGGTGGCCGCCCCAGCAGCCCTGGCCCACCCTGGTACCTGCAGGGACCGCAGCTCCGCACTGTGCTGGGCACCGGCCACTCCTGCCCATGGCAGGACGAGCAGCAGCAGTGAGGCCCCACAGCAGAGAGACAGGAGCTGCATCCTATCCCAACCCAACCCAGCTCAGTTGGGCACAGTGTCACTGCTTTGCCCATGGATACCTCTCCTTATATCCCCACTCACTGCCCAGAGGGAGCTCAGCTGCCTCCTGCCAGATCCCCACAGGAGCCGGAGTGCTGCACTCTACCCCCCGGCTTTGATAAGGGAACTGGTTATAACTGGCCCCAAAAGTGACCCTCCAGGAGAGGGGGGTCCCCCGAGTGCAGCAACTCCTCCAGAGGGAGTGAACTGCCCTGAGTCATCTCCTCCCCTCCTAGCAGCACTCTTTTTCCTGGTGATTTCCTCCCCCTCCACTCTCCATCACTGTTAGGTAGGAGTTGATGCAGTGAAAGGATCTTGCACTTTCTGCCTGTTTGCTCTGCCTCACATCTGCAGACATGCAGGAGCTGTGAGTGGGCCCAAGCAGGGGGTTGATTTGCTCTCCGAGGGACTGAGGGATGGATCATTTCTCCTCCATGGGGGAGATAAGTGGAGGGAATTGGAAGTCTTCCTCTTGTCTGAAGCAGCTCCCAACAGCTTTTTCTTCTCTGTATACATATTTTTGTGCTATGTGAATAGATCATGTCCCGAGGCTTGGGTTTAAGAGCTTTACCCTCCTTGCAAGTTCATGCAATGCCAATTCTTGACTTTCACTAGTGTTGTCTGCAAATCCTTCCGTCTATAGGTAAGAGGCACTAACCATGTAGCAGCCTAAGTCTGCCTTGAGCAATGGTATAGCTGACCACTTTACTATAAACATTACTTGCTCTTCAGCCATGCCTTGGCTACAGCAGGGAATCAGCCACCACCCTCTCCTCATACCCCACCATCTTTCCCATAAATGATGGTGTGCTCTGTCCCCACAGCTTGGGTTGGAATGAGAAATTCCTACGGCAGAGATGTTCTTTGCAGAAAGCCCAGGGACCTTGCCCCAAAAAACAGATTTTGTAGATCTTTGGATTTATGCTCCCCAGATAAAAGTCTCTGAATTACCAAATTGGCAACTGTAACAGCCAGTCTGTGTGAAACTTTCTCTTATTTTGCCTCAGAGCTTTACAGCAGTTTCCTATTAACTTTCAGTAAAATTGTCAGTGTCTCTCCTGTGCGGGTGGCAAATTTCAACTACAAATGAGTACAACTTCTGCTGATCCCAGGATGCAAATCAAGATGACCCTGTTAGATCCTTACAGAATGAAAACCAGAACCCATGTTATCCAGTGGGTAGAGCAGCAGACAGGGTCCTTTCAATCACTGCCGGGTAATATTAAAGCAATTACAGTAAGTCTTCAGCTTCTGCCCTCCTCATTTGCTTAGCCAGTACACTCATAAATCTCTGTGATTTCACTCGATATGCAGTGATTTCTGCTTGGGCCCTTATTTCAGAGATTGTCCCAAAGCTCAGCAACGCCAAAGAAAGCCTTTCCTCTGGGCTCAGAGGGGTTTGAACCAAGCTGTTGTGGACTTACTACTGCTAGGTGTTGCATGAACAAGCGACAACATACATTATGTTTTTAAATCTTCTTCCCCCATTTTCTTGTCCTTCTATTTCACAAATCTACCTACAGCTGACATAATTTATCTTAGATTGGAAGCAAACTAGCAATATCAGCTGGTGTGGGACAATGATCTCTGCATCCAGCAGTCTTAACAGTTGACAAGTGGTTTTGTTTAAAGCATCAGAGCAAAGAATCTGACAGAAAAATGAGGTGTGGGTTTTGAAAGTATGGTACATGAATGAAGGAAGCTCACATCAGGTGGGAATGTAATGTTGATTCAGAATAAGAAGAGATAGCTAAGGTGAGAATGTGCATCTTCCTCGATTTGTGTGTAGTAAAGAGAGACAGGAGTGGAAAGGGATAAAGCAGTGAGAGTGTATAGGATCTGTGTGATGACCAAGGGAAATAAATACAATTTGGCCCTCTGGCAATAAACTAGGAAGACTTGAGTCTTGGATGAGACCAAATCTAAATTGCTGCCTAACATCACTTATAAACAGGTACCCCAAAAGCAGACACATTTGACAAAGAGATCTGTATGTTTATTTCTCTGTAGAAGTAGTTTTATTGCAGACTTTTCTTCTCAGCAACTTCTGTAATCCTAGTCTATAAATTCATGCACTGCTGCTTAGCACAGATGGAAATGACACAGCCAGAGATGAGCCTCTCCCATCTGACTGGCATGCTAACTTCAAAGGTTAGCTTTGATTATTTAAATGCTAATAGAACTCAGCAAATTACCTAAAGTGCAAGCACACCTGGCTTCCGTCCTCAGGATCTAATTATGGAGCCTTTTAAGTGAAATAAATTTTTCTTCCTTTCTGAAGAGTGTTTTTTAAAATGTTCACACAAAATGCCAGGTGATGGGATAGCACCTCACCAGCCCAGCCTCAGTGGAATTGGAGGTCTTATCTGTTTCTTATTCATCTTTTGTAGGATTCTGTTCATAAGTGCTCACAGCCCAGTCTTCAACCCCCTCTGAAGTCTGTTATTTTATCTGGAAATAATTTCAATGTTAGTGTAGCTGAGTTTGGAAACAGGCTAGGATGTTCAGGAAACAAACTCCAGTTAGCACTTAATCTTCATTGGATTTTCAGTGAAATTTCAGCATCAGGAAGTTTTTACACTTAGGAGAATGTGTGTGCTCCTCAGGTTACTGAGAGCTGGGAGCAGGCTATCAGACTCAGGATTACTAGGAGGAGGCTATAACCTTCCCATTAGCACCAACTGTCACAAAATACTGGCTCTTCATTGTTTGATATCATAATGTGCATGGGCTGTGTGGATTAACCTTTCCACCATATAGATTGCACCTGGACCAGCCCTGAGGCTAGCAGACCTGGAGGGACTCTATTTAAGAAAGCTGGATACTTCCTATTAAGTTCCCATAAGTAAGCATGCCTGCTTCTTCTTAGTGTAAGTTGTTGTGTACTGGGGGAAAAGAAGTGGAAATCTTCTGACTGTATGAAGGTGTGTTAGGTTAGAATTCTGAATCAGAAATCTCTTTGCTCGTGTTTGTATAAGGCAGAGGTCTTTGTATGATGGAAGCTACAGCAAGGCAGAGCATTGTTTGTATGGTTCAACAAGATTCCAGATCTCCATGAGAATTTGCCCATGAATTACTGTGCAGTCTATGGTGTTCTGTCTAGAAAATCTGTTCATGCTGATCAGAGCAAAGCATTAGTTTTAAGAAATGCATAGCCTGTCTATTGATACATAAATTACACTGAAAGCTGATTTATTCTTTAATCCCCCATTCCCCACTTTAATTCTTCACCTGGCTGGTGACTTGCTTCTTTTTCTTGCTGTTTTGATTAGAAATGGCATCACAAAGTATAATAAATTAATTATATGGACTATTCCATTGTTTGAGAGCTTGTACTCAGGGGTGCCTGGGTAAGTGATGAGACTATTCCTTGTCAGCATGTCTATTTATGGCATTTTCATTGTTGCTAAAAAGCTAACTTAGAGTAAGTATCAAATAACATAAGACCTAACAAAAACTGTTAACTAGAGAAACCTTCAGGATCACTTAAAGGGGCCGTTCAGGAAATATTTGGGGGGACTCTTCATCAGGGAATGTAGGGATAGGACAAGGTGTAATGGTTTTAAACTGACAGGAGATTTAGATGAGATCTAAGGAAGAAATTCCTTACTGTGAGTGTGGCGAGGCGCCGGCCCAGGGTGCCCAGAGCAGCTGTGGCTGCCCCCTCCCTGGAAGGGTTCAAGGCCAGGTTGGATGGGGCTGGGAGCACCCTGGGCTGGGGGAAGGGGGCCCTGCCTGGGGCAGGGTGGTTGGAACTAGGTGATCTTTAAGGTCCCTCCCAACCCAAACTGTTCTATGATATGATATATATGTTGTTGAATATGCTGTTTCTGCTCGGGATTTGTGTTGATAGCCTCGTAACTACTGGTTTGTGGAGAGAAAGATTCTGGAGGATGGAATAGCCATAGACAGGTAGAATTAATGGTAATTTCTAAATTTGCAAGAGATATTAAAAGGGCAAAAGATTGCAAGAAAATAGAGAAGCTGTTGCTAACTTGTGCAGGGAGAGACTGTCTTCATTAACAAATCATTCTGTGCTTTCCGGTCGCTGATAGTCAGCTCTTAAATGTTGAAACATAAGTTTATGAGCTTGTTGTACTGATGTCCTTCCTAGAGCAAGTCTGTGGCATCAGGGTGGAAGCTATATATTGAAAATAGCATGAGAGAAACACAAAGCTTTCTCTACTTTGGCTCTGAATAGCTCTCCGGTGGGTCCTGGATCACCTTCATTCTATGGGAATTGTGGTTAGAAGGAGCAGAACCAAGGCATAGTGTTTAAGTGATTGAGGCAGGTCCAGAAACTGGACCTCTAGCTGCTCTGTGCAAACAGGCTTTCTTAGTCAGAGCTGAACTGCCAGAGATTCAGAGCATGTGAAGCCAGAGGGTTTTTGATGAACTTGCTCTGCGTAGATGGTTGTGCTCCATGTTGGAGTTTATGTCCACAGGTCCTGTTAGGAGTAGCCTTATTACCAGAATATTTTCTTCCAGGAGCATCTCTTGTGGGCAAGAAAATGAGAGTACAACTGTGTAGTCCATCTGTTCACTCCAAGCAAAAGGCTGGAAGTGAACAGCTGTGCCCTCATTTGTGACTGTCAGTGTAGATGTTTGTGTGAGCAGCCTTACTGATATCCATGTAGCTGCTTGCAGAGTTCAGCTCTCATCGACATCAGGATAGCACAGTCATGATCTTGGCAAACCAGCCTTCATGCAGAATTCCTTTGGCTCAGAGTGTTTGCCAAGTAGCTGTTCTCTGATTTGTTCATAGTTAGATTCAGTGAATAATTGGTTTGCTTAAAAAATAGAATGGTATCAGATACATTTTTTGTATAATCTTGACTTTTGTTGTTGGAAAAATTATTTTCAGTATCTGGATCTGCCTATAGAAGAGTTGGGTGCCCTTGAACTTTCTTCACAGAAAAAAAATGCTACTCTTTTGGACAAGATTATATTTACTAGTAAGAAACAATCGTTTTCCTCTGTCAGTGGCAGATCCAAATGCAAAGTAACAGCTTTCTGCTGATGTCAGCTAAGACAGCTACCCTTTTAGTTCAAATTGTGATGATCAAAGGCTTGGGGCTTTGTGCCCTGGTTTCTGAGGACTCTTCTATAAAGATGGCTGTGTCAGTCTTATTCCTGTTATATTTATGTTATTTTGATAAAATAAAGGCTTGTTTGATTGTGTGCTCATTCTTCATTTGTTTGGGTTTTTTTCCTTTTTAAGAGCAGCTAAAACATCCTTTCTATTAGTTAGCAGCAGTCTGAAATGCTTCTGAATTCTAGTGGATTGTGTCTAATTGCAAACTGGGGCACTGTTTTAGTTTTAGGAATGATACATGAAAAAATCACAACAAAGGCTTGAAGCAAATTCACCAAATTATGGAAAAGGATTTATTATCAGTGACATAATGAGAAATTAGACTTATTTATTTATACATTTAGTTCACAAACAGTACAATTTTTTTTGTAATTAAATTTCAGATGTTCACAAACTATTACTCTGATACAAATAGACAGTACAGCAGTGGTGTGTTCTATTTGCCAAGTAATTCAGGGGAGAGGTGGGGTGCAATTTGCCCAGTACATGATGTAGTAGATGGATTGGTGGAGCCAATATGAATAAGGGCTCAATATCTTACTGAAAGGCAACAGGTCCTTTGAAACCTCAAAGTCAGTCCTGTCAAGAAAGCAGAGGAATAAGTAAAAGTGGGCAGGATTTCATGCATGGAAATTAACTGATTTCTTACTGTTCTAGGTCCAGGTTCAGCTCCACTGTTCTGCTCAGAGTTTCTTTGGATCGTCACAAGCATCCCCGGGGAACTGGTGAAAACTGCCCTGACCTGGCTTCCCTGACATGATGAAATGCATACAGCTGACTTGAAGAAAGGATTGAAAGCAGGTAAAGCAGAGATACAGCATTCAGAGGTTTTAATTAGGTATCTGAGGACAGTGAATTCTGAGGAGGGTAAAATTAGTAAACTGTGTTTGCGATAGGAGCGTAAAAGTTACTTTAAGGCACCATTTCCCTAAAGCTGAATTAAATCTAATCTTCTGCATATATATATGCAAGTTATACACAAACACATGGATCACCTTCCCCTGGCTTTTTCTTACCATAGTAAGCAGTTAGCATCCCAGTCCACTCAGTGAGCCAATTCTGTCCAGCTTGACACCAAAACAGCCCCTGGAGAGGCCCTTTTTGCTTCTGCCTTGGTATCTACGGGGTAAACTTAGAAGGTCATTGAAGAACCTCTGGACAGCGCTGTCATCCATGGACATGCTCTCAGGCTGGTCCCTGGTGTTTCCAGTCCACTGGAATTCAGTGCCTTGCTGATCAAAGGCACCTGTTGGGATCATGTTGTCTTGCTCATGGTCCCTCTCTTCTGAGACCAGGGGATGCTCCAGGTCCCCATCTAACAGTTTAGACAGACTCTGGAAAAAAAAAGGAAAGGTAGGTGGTAGAGAGGGAGGAGAGGAGAAAAAAGGAGGGGTTCTGGGAACTCTGTCATCATTTCTGTATAAGTTGTGCTCAATGTCAAGTTTGGAGAAACTTATTTTGAACATTTATCAAAAGGTAAAAGTACTGAACTGGTTTCTGAAGCTAATGGTGGTTATCTTTAGTTTCTTCTGGCTCACCAAGCTGCTCTGAGCTAAGACTCTCAAAATGCTCTCTCAAAATGTTCTAAGGCTTTATGTTATTACTGTATTCTATAGTTCTGAGCTGACAAATTGCTAGTTAAGTCTTTTCTGGAGCTGAGAATCTAGGGTATGAGATAAATTGTGAAAGACTATGTCAAGAGTGAATAAGAAAAAATGATTGATACCTTGGAATAATAAGAAAAACAATGCAATGACAGGAGATATGCAAAAATTGGTGCTCGAAGGATTATATATTTCTTTACAGACTGGGAGGAGGTTATTTCATAGTTGGGAATACCAGATCCCTAGTCAGGTAGCTGAAATATGTTTTCCTAGTGACTTGGAATTCCTACACACACACACACACACACGCACACACACACAGGACTGCATTACTGCACTACTGAGCTAAGGAGGAGATCATGCAGGTTTAAACCAGGGGCTTCAGGGAGGAGCATGCAAGTGACCATAGGGCTCTAGATCAGAGTCCTTCCAGAAAAATTCCCTTTACTCCAAAACTTTATTGCTTCACTCAGTCACAGGATGACCCTAAATCTGCAATCCCCAAATTGTCGCTACAGGAAAAAACATTTTCCTCTCAATGCCTCATGTGATCAGAAATAAATGCGGCAATTGATTACTTTAGTTTCCCTCCATTTAATAACTCTCTGTCTGCCTATCTCAGGGTTCCTGTTTTCATGATCTGTTTAAGTGTCTCATATTGCTTTAGCAGGGGTTGGAATAAATGGAGCTAATCTGAAGTGTCTAAGTCCCAAAGAAGCAACAGCTTCTTTCAGTTCTGTTGAGCAGCCAGTCACTTACCTGTAAGCTGGAAATGGGCCTGTCCCTTGCCTGATTTTGACTGACAATAAGCAGCAGAAGGAATCCAGGGCAAAAAAGAAGTTTCAGGTTCATCTTCATGTTTTGTTGTTTGATTCCTCCTCCCCTTGAGTCTCTCCAGTTCAGTGTTGCTCTGTGTCTCCAGCTACCAGCCTTTATATCTTCCTCCAACCCCTCCCAAGTCTACCTTTTGAGTTCCTGCCAGTGCAAGGATTGTTTTGAGGTTCTGATCTGTTTTCATTCTTTCAGGAGGAGGAGGGAGGAAATATTTCTCTTTTCTGATGGCGAATAAAAGGAGCATTTTACATGTAGGCAATGCAGCATCATTCTGTTGCTGTGAATCTGAAGGTCTCTGCAGCCTGCTGTCTTGGTGCCACTTACGTATGTCAGTTTGCTTAGCTCAGTGCTTCTTGGGTTGTCTGCTCAACCTTTCCTTTCCATCCAGAGAAAAACATTTGTGGGAGAAGTATAAAGTGAGACAGGAAGCAAATTGTATCTACTACAGATTCATCTGGTTCTTTTGTCACCATGAAGTACCAAATCAGAGGATCAGGGGTCTCATAAAACACGCTAAGTACTAAGTGTTATTGCATAACACAATAATGTGGCATTAGTAACTTATGAGATGAAAGAGTGTGATTCGGAGAAGAAGGGAAATCTAAGTCCTAAAAATCTGACAAGTAAGTTGCGTTAATTACTGGCCCGAGTGACCGGGAGTGTGGCTGAAACCAGGCTGACACGCACAGAAAGCTTCTATATAGCTTAAGTTGAGGAAGAAATTCCACTTTTTCCTTGGATCCAGCTTAAAACACTTCCTCTATGTGTTCTTTCTCAGCTTATCATACACAATTTGTATTAAAACTGAAATTAGTCTGAAATGAAAAGCAGCTCCAACATTTTACCACATGTACAGTTACACGGACATTAAAAAGCTGCAGGATCAGAATGTGTGTTGGTGGGGTTTTTGGCTGTGAGGTTTTTTTGTGGTTTGTTGCTTTTTTGTTTGTTTATTTGTTTCTTTTTAATGAGTTGAAGCACCAGCTTCAAACAAAAATAATTCAGTGAAATGTTAGAGGGAGCAGAAGAAACTGTATCAGTTCTTAGCAAGGATCTTGAGGGTATTCAAATCACAGCTGTTGGCCAGACCTCCCTCTACTGTAAAAGCACTTGGGAGGTGTGTGGTTGCCCTGATGAAGATGTATATAGATAACGGGTTCTCCAAACCCCCCATTTATTCTAACCCTTTTTTTACTAGGTTCCATACCAAGAAATGACCCTTTTTCTGTTTTGGGGACAGCGGGGAAAAGCAGCAATAAAATCAGTTGTGTGTTTTGTAGGGGCTTGAAATTTGGCCCCACTGAATAATTGAAATGTTCATGAGTATGCAGTAATACATCTTGATCTCTCACTGCATTTCTGCACACATGTGATGCAGAAAGTTAAAGGCCATTAAGCTGGATCTGTATGGAGGAAATGGAACTGAAGGACCATCTGACACCTTTCATCTGGTCTTTGAGGTCTTGTTAATGCTGAAAGCTTGGAAGAAATAATTCTGTGATGTTCCAGTGGGTTTGTTTTCAGTGTCTTTTTTAACATGCATATCAGTTTAAGACATAATTGTTATGTGTTTCTAGAAATTAGTATTCTATGGAGATTGCTTATAAACATCCCTTTATGACAGAAAGGGAGGTCTGATATTATTACATTGTTGGGATTTTTTTTGTTGTTGATGTTGATTAAAACCACATTTGATCTGAGTCTTATTAGAAAATTAAATCATCATTTCAGAGGCTTAAGGTGTGTACTTTGCAGTGTAACAAGACAGTAAGATAAGGCCAGGGCTCATCTTTTCTCTGAAAAAGTCTAGGGTTGTTTTGTTGGTTTGATTGGCTTGTCACAAGTCTGCATACACGTGGATAATAAATCTTCTTGGCCTCAAGATCTCTGAACTTGTTTTGGGGGACTGCTGAATTGTCTTTCTGGTAACTGTTGGAAATATATTCACTAGCACAGTCCTTATCTATAACTATATTAGTAAAATCAAAATAATTGAGGTCAGGAAGGACTTCTGAATGTCTGTGATACAATCTCATGGTAAAAGCAGAGCCAACTTAGATCAAATTGCTCAGTGCCTCGTCAAGTTGAGTTCTGAAAATCTTTGACAATGATTTCCTAATATCTTGTTGCAACTAGGATTGCAGCTGGATGCTGTTCATAAGCAGAACAAAAGGATGTGCCATCTCCCAAAACAATGACACTCAATGAGAGTGTGTTTGAGTGCTGTATATCCTAGACAGTGAGGACAGCTTCAGTCCATCTAGTGAACAGCTGGATGCAAATTTGGTTTAGTGCAGTAAAAAGAAGTAGTCAAACAGAAGGCCATCCAGCAAAAGTCTCTGCATTATGTTCTGGATCTTCTCAGGGCTCAGAGGAGCATTGCAACTCAGTGTCTGAACATTCACAGCAATTTCAGAAATTGCCGTTGGGGTGGTGTGGTTAAGACAGACTTCAACAGCAAACTTCAGTCTGTAAGAAAGAAGTAACACCTGAGGACAGTAGGAAATATCTGGGAGACAAGAAATGGCTTTGTACCCATTACTGAAGTGATTTGAGTGTTCCTTTGTATGGCAAATCCTCCATATAGGGTGGAAGGAAGTATCAAGAAGGCAGCAGGTTGGCATGTGTTGCTCATCTCCAACAGTAAATTGTTTCCTAACATACTGAGAGATTTCTCCTGTACCAGCAGAGATCTTACTTCTTATTAAAAGAGTAGGGTTAGTGCATGTTATTTCTCTGGGATATATCTGCCTGATCTCTACAGGCTGCTGTGAGGAAGCCAAGCTCTGAAGTTGATAGCATGTGGCATGCTTAGTTGGGTACCATTAGAGCGCTGCCGTGGTAACTCATTATCCTCCTCCTTCCTAGCTCAGTGACCCCTTTCAGCCTCCCTCTCCTTCCCAATTGCTCAGGCCAGCATTTCCTGGCTCGGTGCAGCTGGCTGAAAGGGCAGTGACGCTATTGTCAAAGTGAGATCACCAAGTCCTTGATGGAAGCTGGCACCAGAGGCCCATCATTATGAGACATTAACATTTAGCAGTGGTATCCAAACATTTGCCTGGTTGTCCCCCTCCCTTGCCCTCTCCGGAGTGGTCTAGTGGCTGAGCTGAAGGAGGGTTCAGTGCACAGCATCATCGTGAGCCCAGGCTTGGCTGATAATTACCCAGCTGCAGGTGCTCTGCTTGCTCTTCTGGCACTTTATTTCCTTCACCATAGGTTACGTGCTGACAGCAAGGCCCTGTTGCAGACGGGGGTGCAGGGGGATCTGCAGGAGCAGCTCTCACTGCAGAAGAGGGACTTGGCGCAGAGACTGTTGAGCTCACTTACCTGTGTAAAGCTGTTATGCATCCACTGGATCTGCACGAGCACAGTCCAGAGGAGAATTTGGTCCCTGCCTCAGGGATGGCTGGGACTGTGTACTGGGAGGATCTCTGATCTCCTGGTGTCTGTGATAGCCCATCTTGGGGAATAAACCAAACCCTTGCTACCGGGTGACTCAAAAGGAGCTTTACTTGAGGGCTGGTCATCCCACTCTGGCATCCTCTTCCTGTCCAAGACCACCTTCCGTGGGGCTGTAAAGGCCAGTAAGAGGATAGATTCAGTGCTGTCACTGCTCTTCTCTGGGGTCCCAAGAATGCATTTTGCCTTTGCCTCATCTGTTCTGCTCTCACTAATGCTCACTGATCTCTGTGGTAGGGGTGAAGAGGCGATATTTTCCTCTGTAGCCCTTTGGGACAAGAAGGGGGCGTAGGCCACCTGAGGACAAGGAGGGCAGCAGGCTGGCATTTCGTAGCAGGTTGTAGGTGGTTCTGGAGCATTGGGTTTTGATGGCAAAATTTTAATATTAGGTTTGTCAGGCACATTTATCACATTCTGCTGACGCTAATGCAGCCCAGCAGGGAAGCAGCAGTAAGGGAGGGGATGAAAGAGCTGGAGATCGTGCTCAGTGCTAGTCAAATGGCTGTCTTGGTATGCTTCGTGGCTCACTGCTCCTTGCTGGGAGAGGGGTTGGGCCCAATTCTGATCTCTGCTGCAGCAGGGGTGGAAACAAAGAAGCCACATGGGACTTCTGTATCTGGCTTGTAGCAGCCATGATTAGTCTGACTTCTCTCATTATTCCCCAGTGCTGGCACTTGGATGGCATCAGGAGAGAGGTACAACATCCACTGATTCATTGGTGGGTGTTCCTGGCCTCCTTTCAATGATTCATCTCCCAGGGGAGCTCTTTTTTTGTGTGTGAGGGCATTTTTAGGTTAGTGCTGTGTGGTTTGATGCTAAAGATCCCTGACTTTGCTCTGTGCTAGTCTTGCTGGTGTTTGTAACAATTTTGCTGTAAATTTTTTTGATGTTTAGAGGCAAGCTGCTTTTCCCAAGGTACTTTAAGCACACAGAGTCCCGCTGCCTATGGTTCAGCACTCTTCAGCAAATGATATCTTCAGCTCTCAAAGGAAAATGTAGAGAGGGATTGGATCAAGTTATATATGTAAATAATAGTCATAGAGCAGTGTAAAGCAGATGAAATATGAAAACTGCTGGAGAGCTGGTATGAAAAACACAGATGCCTTTTACAGGCTGTAGTACTGGAGAAGATTCTCAGATTAATCATGGCAGGATGGTGGGAAGAAAATAAGGGGTTTGTATTATAGACAAGTGTGAGAAACAAGCAGGGGATGCTAGGCAAATGTTGTAGGATCAGCTGAAACAACATTGATGATTTTTGGAGACCCTAGTAAAATGGATCCTGAAACAAATAGGAGACAAGCAGAGGCGTTCAGAGCAATGGCACAAGACTTCCAGTCAGTGCCTGGTCAGAGGCAGAGGCCTAAAGAAATACTCTGTTCCATAAATCCTCACCTGAAACTATATTTTTGGCTAAGCTTCATCTCTAGCAAGATGAACAGCATCTTGCTGTCCAGTTGTTTTGGAAAGGTGGGAATGCCTACACAGGCAAATTGTAGGTATTCATACTGCAACCAAAAACATGGATTAGATGTGCATGGTTTTAAACCACTTAGGTCTTTTTAGTCCTGTGGCAGCTAGTCTTGCTTCCCCCTGATCTTTAAGTTGGTCCTCAGAAATTCTTAGGCTGATCTTGCACGAAGCTGTTCAGAATCCAAGTCTTTCATTCT